TACATCGAGCAGTTTACCTTGAGCAGTTTACCGAGCGTCTCAGCAATCGTATTTTGTGTCTAAAATTATTCTACGCATAGTAAAGAGTTATCCCGTTGACCGTGGATTCGTTTGAACCCAAGAACATTGTTAATAGCGTTTATTAAACTCATTATTCGTTAAACTTATTATTCGTAAAACATATTATTCGTTGATCTTATTATTCGTTAAACTTATTATTCTTTAATCTAATCATTAGTTAAACTTATTATTTGTTAACCTTATTATTCATTAAACTCAATATTCGTAATATTTTGTAAAATCTTGTATATATGCGTAAATATAATCTCTGTTTTGTAAAACGATGGCTAATTCAAACGAAGAATCGTTACGCGCCTTAAATTCTAATGTTAACCCGACATACTTATTTTCTATAACAATTAATTATATGTATATATAAATATATTTAAGTAGAAAATAACCTTATAATTTGATTATATTGAAAGAGCGAACAGACGATTAGATACAGCAAAGTATATCACGTAAAAAGATAATCGTCCACTTTGATCGCTGCATTGTACACCGCTTTATCCTCGATTTTCTGAAATTTACCTTGAAACTCCTTCTCAAACTGTCTCAAATGCCTGCAACCAGTTCAATCGATACGTTATTTCCACTTCTCTATCTTTGAAACCGTATGTGCACGTACTTGAATTGGTTTTTCGCTAACTGATGAGACAACAAGATTTTTTCGATAAGTGGCTTCGAGTATACGCTCGCGAGATCCTTGATACTGCAATGAACGTCAGCCTCTTTCTCGGTTAAAAGGATACAATTCCACGGTGACCACTCCTCGTTTACGTCGTATCGAACGATCCGTAATAGGAACATATCTCTATTTTCACTGACTACAGAGTGGCCGTGCCAAATATTGTTCACCAAATGGTACATGTCGTGTTTTTGCATCATAAACGCGATGGCCGAAGGTGATTCTCTTTTCGTTTCCTCATAGCGCACACAGTCCAGTAGAAATTTGTAAGGGTCGTAGTTCACGTGTCTAATATTTCGTTCACGCAACCAAGTACAACCTTAAAGCAGTAAAAAGAAAAAAGTTTAATGCATATTTTCCGTTTAAATTTTTCGAGAAATTTAACGTCAAACGAGATCGATAGTACCAACGCAAGTAGACAGCCTTTTCATCCTTCCATGAACAGTGAATTGGTGAATAGGAAGCAATTTCAAACAACTGTGACACAATTTCGTTATAGGTTCAATTGGTTCTCGCAATTTTTCGTCATCTACGTTCTTACAAAAGTATCTGTCGTTGTTCACGCAACAGCACGAGTGCGACGTCCGTAAAAAGTTCAAGTAACTGTCTACATCGTGAAAGAGAAAGCGGAAAGAAGTTTTGTTAACAATTCTTCTGCCATCTTGGAACGTCACAGGACAAAATCTCGTATATTATTTTTTTCTTACAAACTATCCTTTCTCGAAAGTAGCCTAGTGACATGCGTTTCATCCCCCTTGCCAAGTAGGTCAGCTCTTCGTCCAAGAGTCGTATCAAATGGAAAACAGGCACACAGTTGTGTATCTCCAACGATTTCTTCAGTATCGTGAGCATCTCCATGCGTTCCTCGCGAGTAACATCGTAGTTCATCAACGAGTCGTAAATCATTTTCAATTCTCTTGCCTTCTGGTTTCTCATTGTGTCCATTTCCAGCAATTTATTCTTGTAACCGTTCCACAGAATAGGCTTGCAATTAACCGCAACAAATTTCGCGCGTTTCCGCTTCCTGTAGCGCTGCCTCACCGCCTGTCTTTTCTCGTCGATTACATTCAACATTTCTATGGTTTTTTCCAAAATTTCGTGATTTTCTGCACATCTGGCAGGTTTAAAGAAACGTAGCTTCGCGCATTCAAGGCGATCGCGTCTCCATTTTTCAACCAAACCATATAGCAGATCAAAATCCGATCGAGTTTTGGGATGAATTGTTCGAAGAATTTCCTGCTGATGCCTCTTCCTGAGACGTCAATCGATATATATAATATAGTTTTGAGCGACTTTGTACATTTCACGTGTTTTAAATGCTACATACCTGTATAACATTATCTTTTCTGCTTCGTATAGCTTACAACCTTTGACTAACTCTCGGTACTGTCTCGCATATTCTTTGATATACTTCAATAATTTGTATATTCTATAGTTTCTTTGGATAATTCGCGCCTTTCCATCGTAATCCAGCCGTTTCATCAT